CTCATAGAACTGACCGTTAGACCGATGAAGAATTCTTTAAACATCTGTTTTATTTACTATACAGAGGTGACTGTCCCAATAGAAGATTTAAAATAAGAGAGGCGAAAATATTTACTATCTGTCTTTTTAAAAAAATCAAATGTATTAGGTCGTAGTTGCTAACTTAATTATCTCCACCCTTGGGCTAAGAGATGCCCGGCGGTGTCCAGGTCCTGTTTTACTATGGGGTCCCTGTCTGACAGGGAGCGCAGGGTGGGGTTAGGATTGCCGGAGGAGGAGTGGGAGGGGCAAACTTCCGGGGTGCGCGGGTCTGATCAGCCAGAAGGGAGTGCGGTGCTCTGCTGGGGACAGGGGGGAAGCTACATCCCGCTAAGCAAGGCGAGGTGTCCTGGCCTCATGCAGGTGGGGAGGAGAAGAGCGAGGACACTTTTAGAGCTGCTAATTCGGGATATGCACAAGAGGGAGTCCGGCAGAGAAACCACCCAGAGAAGGAGAACAAAGTTTCTATCTCCCCGAAAGTTCAGTTTTCCTGCCATGCAACCAGTTCCTGGCCCAACGCTTAGACAAATTTACAATGCACAGAAGTCACAAGGGGCCCTTTGCCTCGGTGAAGCTCGGGACGGCCCTGTCTCAGGCAGGAGGGACAGGCTGCAGGGCAGCGGCTGCTGTGAGAGGAGACCAGCGGGAGACTCAGAGGTTTCCAGGGCCTCCTCCTGCCCCGCCTGGTAAAGAAGATGCAGACGTCGCCGGAAGCTCGGCCTGTGCAGGAGGTCGGCTGGTGTGGTGCTGCGTGCCTTACACACATCAGACAAACGGAGAAGACAGATGACTGGAGTGGGTGTGATGTGACAACACTTCCTCTCAGGGACGTCCAGGCAGCGGCACCTGGTGCCCGGCAGACCCCACCCAGCTCCAGATTCGACTCTCCCCTCTGCCCTGGCAGGGGGAGGGGACGCCTGCGGAGGGTGCAAAGCCAACATCTCTAACTCAGGGCATCCAGGAAGATGGCAAGCGCTGCCCAGTCTCAGTAGTTTGCGGGTGCAGCCAGGCAAGCTGGAGTGTGCGACCTGGGGCTCTTCCCCACCTCCCCCGGCAGGAAACTGTTTCGCCACCCTCACTGCTGCCAGACCCGGAAGAGAGAGGACAAGAGCATTGTTGTCAGAGATCATAATGACAGAAGCTGAGGGGCTTTGTTATTAAAGCCAGCATCCTTGGGGCTGGGGACTTAGCTCAGGGGTGCAGCGCCTGCCTGGCAAGCACGAGGGCCTGAGTTTGATTCCTGGAACCAAAAAAAAGTTAGCATCCTTCTCACAAAGCCCCAAGGCCGGACACGGCCTTGAAACCTGCTACCATCATCACCCAGCTAGCGAGAATCACCCCACCCAGACCAAACGATACCCAGAGGGTCTGCGGTACCCCAGAAAGGCCACAGGGCACCCAGCGAGCCGCAGCATGCCCCGCACACCTGCCTCACACCCAGCAAGCTATGTGACATCCAGCTGGCTGACGCCACACTAACAAGGCCTGTGTCCACCTAGGGAGGGTCGGAGGCCGACCGAGAGGGAGACAGATCCAATTCCAACTTCCGGAGGGGCTGAGAGACACTGAGCTCCCAACCTAAGTCCTAAGCTTTGGTTCCTTTCTTGCAAAGCAGGCACACTGGACTCCCCACCTCATGGGGCTGGGGGTGCGGTGGGGGGTTGAAACGACACGTAAAGCAACTAACTTCCCCAGCGCTTGATTGTTAGAGGAAGTCAGCAGCAGCAGCAGCACTCTCCAGTGGCGGTAATCATCACCATCATCATCTCAGCACCATCTCACCTCCATCATCACCGTCATCATCGGTGTTACATAAAAGTCTCCGGAGAAGTCAATCGATGCCAAAGCCTTCACGATGCTGAAGTTCAGTGTTGGATGCTTTGTGGCATTTCTAACCGTCTGGATGCTTTGTGGCATTTCTAACCTAAACCCTCGCTGTCCACAGCATAATTTTGCTGTCTCTGTGATTTTCCTAATTCTGATACCTCCGGCAGTAGAAAAGCACAGTTTACCCTGATCTATAAGCAATCTCTTTGACTGACAGTGATGATGTATGTTTATATAAGGCTTCACTGCTTAGAGTTCAAGCCCAGAGCCACCACAGGGTGTCCCATGTTGCAGGCCTTTGAGGACAGTCACAGCAGGATTTTCGTGAGAGGCTAAACTCAGCAAGTCCTTAGGTAGGGAGCCAGGGCGTGATTTGCCTGTTTGTGTCTATAATGAATTAATTTTCATGTTAAAAAAAAAAACAGAACACCAAACTTTTTCCTGCATGTTGGTCTGGTTATGGACTAGATGCTGTGTCTCCCCAGGTCAGATGTTGAAATTCTGACCCCCAACGTCAGTGGAATGGGCGCTCCTGTAAAGGAGGCTTCTCGTCCCCTTCCTGCCATCTGGGGACGCAATGAGAAGACAGCAGCCTGCAGCCTGGTGGGTCCTCACCAGAACCCAACCACGATGGCCCTGATCCCAGACTCTAGCTTCCCGAGCCACGAGAAGCATATGTCCTTTGTTCACAAGCCCCATGTGACACTTTGTCCCAGCAGCCGGGGACATGGTCCTTTTTAGGTCCTTTCTAGGGTTCCGCTTTGCCTTCTCCCCTTTGCCCTGGGCCACCTCAAGCTGGCAGGGAAATTTCCACGAAGCCAAGGCCGGAAGAGGGAGCTGAGCGCTGTGATGGTCACTGGCTGGGCAGCAGCAGGATAGCCGGTCATGGAGCTGTCCCCCCGGAGGAGCTTGCGGGGCAGAGATGGGTATGAGAGCTGGGGGCAGGAACACCGTGCAGATGGGCACAGGGGCAGCTTCCCTTCTGGGAATGCCACGGGCACTGCAATGCCCTTGTCCTCACTCTTGGGTGGCGTCTGCTCAGGGTTCCCACAGGGACGTTAGCTCTTCCCTGACTCCTTCCTCACTGCAGGCTCACTTTGCAGAAGACACGGCAGTGTTGGTCTGTCTGGAGGTGTGTGCTGCCACAGAGGAAGACGTAGACAGAGGGGACAGGGGGAGATGGAAGGACACCTTGTGCACACAGTGTCCTGGCAGCAGGGAAGCGGGTGAAAGGATGCGGGCAGGTGCGGCAGAGTGTTTGCAGTGGGGACACCAGGGCCACGAAGGACCTGGGGGCTGTGAGGAATGGAACAGCCTCGGTGGCAGGGACAGGAGGCTGGTGCCCTGGGAGGTGGCGAGCAGGGGGAAGGGACAGTGGGGAGAGCTGGGGTCAGCAGCAATGGCCTGCTAGACCACGCAGGGCCTCCAAGAGCTTTTGGCAGGGCCTGGGCAGGGGTTCTGGTTTAAGGGTGGCTCTGGCTGAGGTGTGGTGGGGCCAGGTGTGAGACCAGGGAGGAGCAGCCCTGACCAGGTAGGAGGGATGGATCGGAGACAACAGGGCAGGGAGGAGTCACCACTTTCCACAGCGATCCTGCAGGGAGCCAGCGGGCTCTGCAGATGAGTCGGGTGTGGCCGGAGGAGGAAGAGAAGGACCCATATAGACTATGTGGCGTTAGCCACGAGTAACTCAGAGAAGGCTGCCTTGACTGAGACGGGAAAGGATGTCGGCATCGCGGTGGCCCTGTCACGGAGAAGTGGAGCAGGCAGGGGCACCAGGGGAGGTGGGGGCCAGGCTGTGCATGACGGAGCCACAGGGTTCAACACAACCATGATCCATGAGACGGAAGACCCTGTCCTGACCTCAGGTGTCCCGGGTGAGCAGAGAGAGGGGCCAGGTGGCAAGTTTACAGTCCCCAGAATTAGTCCAGCTTTGCCGCCACCGTCCCCAAGGCAGTCCCTTCCCTGTCTGACAGGTCAGATGTGGACAAGCACTCCATTCTCAGAAGCTGGAGGCAGCTGGGGAGTCACGAGGCTGCTGGACACTGTGACATCCAAGGCCGGCATGCGTTAGGGGCGGCTGGTGCTGGTCACTTGGGGTGCAGGAGAGGGGAACAGAGGGGGCGAGTGTCAGGTGACGGACATGCAGTTACTTCTCCACCCCTACAATTCGGCCCCCACTGGTACCGCTCACCCCACTGAAGGAGCTCTCACCCACAGCGTCCGCGAGCGGTCACCAGCCACCCGGTCGTCACACCAGGAATCTCAGCGCCATCACTGCGTCCCTCCCCTCCTTACCCTGATTTCTAAGCACGTGGTGACTCTGGTCCCCGCCATGTCCTGCTCACATGACATCAGACCCTCACCACTGACGTCATCTTTCTGCTTTGTTGTGTTGGGGGTGGAGAGAGGGTCTGGGCTCTGGACAGCCGCCTAACCCCCCCTGTGTACTCCACCCCAAAGCGAGGAAGTGCCACAAGGCTGAGCAACAGGACCACAAACCCAGGCCCCGTGCCTGGCGCAAGGCGGGCACCAGAGAAACGGTCAGATCTCACCACCACCTTCTGCTCTTCTCCACCCGGACGCCGCGGCATAGAGGCCGAAACGCTTTCTTTAAAAATAGCCAACGCTGATTAGCTAGGGGGGCAGGAGTTGCAATTTTAAGCAATCATTGAAATTAATTCCCGAGAAGTCTGAGCAGAGCCCTTCCCGCGGAGCTTCCCCTGGCACGAGCTCACCGGTTCCCGCAAGCGCATGCAGATTAGCACCCAGCCCGCCCCGAACGTCACTGCCAGGCTTTTCTTCACGTTTTAGAGGAACAGACCCCAGCTCTGCGATCGCAGCATCGTGGGGACCCTTCCCTGGCAGGCAGGCGCCCGAGCAGCTCTGAGCTGCCGCCCCCACCCTGCCCCCCGACCCCAGGTACGCAGCGCAGAGCCACAGTGGGTCAGTTTTTCTCTGAAGGTGAAGTACCCAGGATTGGCCTCGTTCTTTCTGGAGAAATTCGCCCAAGACAGCTTTTGGCCAAAAGAATCTTTTCCATTCGTTGAAAGACGCCTGGAAGTGGATCTGTGCTGCCCGGGGACACACCTGATTCCTGCCCTGCAGGGACAAAGCACACAGAGCACCCGCCCTACCTTCCTGAAGTCACGCAGGCTGATCTTCCTGTGAAGGCCCTGGCTGACGTCCAGGAATCGCTTTCTGAACGCTGGGTCCTGCCACTTGATATAGCTTTTGAGTTTTTCAGTGACTTCATCTTTGGTCATGTTCTTGGTCCTGTTCCTGGTGGGCTCCGTCCTGAAATCACAAGCAAGCACTCAGAGCTGGCGTGGAGGGACAGAGACCACACGCAGGCTCCCTAGTCCGCGGGGGCACAGCGGCAGGCGGGTGGGGCCTGAAGGGGGCGCTCTCATCACCACTGCGCTAAGACTCCCAGGGTGCTTGGGGCTGGAAGGGAACAGCGTGAGGCCAGGCACATGTGGCAGAAAAAAAAGGTGGTTTTATGAAGCGGGAAAATTTACATTTAAGGCCCATGATAAAGCTTCAGGTTAGAGGAACAGGCCTTTTGGTGGGGATTCAATGAAGGAAGTCACCAAATATCTATAGAGAGGAAGAGAGGGCACAGTTATTCTGAGTTCATCGATGAAAGCAACTTGATGTATAAAATGTACATTTCGTGTGACAGGTACACATGCATGTGTGTGTGCATGTAAGAGAATTATTTCCTTACTGTTTCCTTAGTTAGCTCGCTAGAAGATTACAGGTTCCACTCGGGGGAATAAAAGAGATCTCCGACCGCGGTAGGAGAAGGATTTCCATTCTTCCCTTCTCTTCTGACTTTTAGGAGGTCTCCATGAAACTCTACAACATTTTATGAAATGCTTAATTGCCATTACTTCTTTCCTGGGCTTTAGGAAGCAGACATATCTTGTCACAGAATATTTAACCTTTCTCTTGAAATACCATCTTCCTGCTCACTTATAAAGCAGCTACTATTGGAAAGCCAGAGGTTCACATTTCATTAGCATATCATTAAAATATTCCCACTGCTCTATACTTAACTTTTTAAAAGGAATATAACTGAGTGAAGTGTGTGGCGTTTTACCTTTCCCACAGATTTATGGTAAGCCATGAACAAGCAAGTTAACATAATATCTTTTCATTACAAGACACCTGTATTTTCCAAAAGGAAGATCTAGAATAATCATGGGTCCAATTTCTTTAATAGATTCACTAATGGTGCTTTATTGTTATGATTCAAGTTGACAATTACTTTAATAATTCTATTATTCTCATTAGAAAATGGTAGCTGGCTTGCTGGTATGTTTTGCAATAAATATTACATGGTGGTAAAGAGCCTGGGCTTCTGGAAAGGAAGAGATGTGCGTGCAAGGTACAGAACAGCGAAGTAGTGGACAGCTCTGCGAGATGAGCCCTGGGTTTATGACCCAGCCCTGCCACCAAGTGTGTGAATGATCCGAGAGCACTCTCCACCTCTGAAACACCAGTGCCTGCGTTTCTAAAAATTCACATACAAATTTGGTCATTTCTAAATCTCTGCTTGCTCTAAAATTCCCTGACTCTAATCACTGTACAGAGAGCATGCCATCTTTCTTATTTAAATAATAAACTATTCAAATATTCAGCCAACAAATATTTACTAAATGCTCCGTTCCCCGCAAGGCACTGTGGTTTGAGTGTATCTTTCCTTGCGCTTTATTTTACCTCTCAGAGAGGGCCGGCTGCCACTCTCCTCCTTTCTGAAAGCGTTCTCTCGACTGATCCTCTGGAACAAGAACCGGAGAGACCATAGGGGGGGCATTTATTCTGAAGCATGCCAAAAACTTCTTGTAAAGGATGTTTTCTGAAGTCATATCTTGAAACTTACAGCAGAGTCTGAATTTGAAAAATAGAGCACAGCCATTAGAGTGGCTAAAATCAAAAGTACCGACTCTGTCCCCCCAGCATTGCTGAAGATGTAACTGTAGCACTCACCCACTGCCTGTGGGAATGTAAAATGGTATGATCACTTTGGAAAGCAGGCTGGCAATTGATTACACAGCTACCAGAGGAACCAGCCATTCTGCTCCTAGGCACTTACCCACGAGAAATAAAAATGTATGTCTACACAGAGAGTTGTACAGTATATACAGCTTTATTTGTAATAGTCCCAAGCAGGAAACAAACCAGCAACAGAGGATGTGTATACAAATTAGTGAAGCCATGCAATGGAGTACTACTCAGCAATGAAAAGGAATGAACTGCTGATATATCTGACAACATGCCTGAACCTCAGTGTCATTGCACTTAGCGAACACAGTCAAACAAAAAAGAGAACATCTTGTGTTCTCCCATTTACGGAAAACTCTAAGAAATGAAAAATCTACCGTGATAGCCAACTGATATTGGCTTATGGGTGGAAAGGAGCAGTGAACGGCAAAGGGGTGTAAGGTAGTGAAAATACGTGACATCTTGACTGTTATCTTGTGGTGGTCTCATGGATATTGACACATGATGAATTTAATCCAGTTATATTATTTTAACATGTGCAGCTTACTTAAATAAGGACATAATTAGTGTAAAAATGAATTTTTCAAAATTAGAAATTTGGGTATGGAATCATGTAAGTACTTATATTGGAATTTTTGCCTACGTAAACATTTTGTGTAAATGTAGGAAACCACTGATATAGCAGAATTTCTTCCTTTCGTTCCTTCCCTCCCCCTTTCCCTTCCATCTTTCTTTGTTATTCAGTGCTGTGGATTGAAACCGCTGAACTGCCCACGAGCCCTAGGGCTGATTTCTTTTTCAACATTTTGTTCAATTATCAATATTCCCTATTAGTATTGGAAAAATACGTAGAAAAAGGCTTAGGATTATTAAACGTATTTGCTGAGAAACATTAAGTAAATTACTTCTGTAATCAGAAAACTTACTTTATTAAATGTTTATTTGTTAAAAATGGACAGAATATGCGCATGACTTTCTTGAAATGATTCCGAGTGATGAACCCTGTGTCTCTGAGGTCATATGACTGCAGCATGTTACAAAAAGCTTGTAGATTCTTAGCAACTGCATCATGAACCATTTCTTCCACCTAACATAAGAAATACACAGTTACTGGGCTGCACGTGTGTACCCAGTGTGCTGGCACTCTTGCATGGCACAGGAGGGTGTCACAAAGAGAAAGCCAAGTGCTACTTACTGAATCCCACGCCAAGGAAAGTGGTGTCTTAGCGCCTGTACAGGGAGAGGAGGCTTTTCTCATCTAAGTGGGAAAGAGAAAGAACATAAATATAAATCACTCTTGAACAGTGTGGGAGCTTTCAAGGCAGCTGGACTTCAACGTGAATCCTAACCCTAGTTCCTAAACCTTGACAGCAGGGATGGAGGAACCAGGGTCTCCTGGGTGGGAGTTCCCCTCCCAGCCTCGGCTCTACGCATACATGCAAGCACTTTGTACATACGTTTCTCTTTAAAAAAAAAAAAAAAGCAACAGATAAAACACATATTCTTATGCCTGATCTTCTCAAAAGTTTCTAGAATTTTATACTAAAACATTAGTCCTGAAGTGATACACATAAGCAGGTACTGAGATGTTTGTTGTGGTAAAATTTACAAGACAACAAGGAGTGCTCTTGTTTTTTAAAATGAGGTAGCAGAATTTATATGAAACATTAACAATATATTAAGGAGTGACAACAGAGATTAAAGAGTCATGAGCTATATGATCCCCTTTTTAAATAAAAATAGGTATAAATGAAAGAGTATATCTAAGCTCATTGAAATGTATACATGAAATATGCTCAGTTTTTAAAAATATCAATTACAGCTCAATAAGCTGTTTTTTTTTTAAGAGAGAATGCTTGTGCATGTGTGCATACATATATAGTTTTGGAATGACAGATAACACAGTGTAACAGTGGGTCTCAATATTTTGATGTTAGAATTAGTGATTTTTATTTTCTCCTCTTTGCATACATGTGCATTCTAATTTTTCTATTCATTCATTCATTTAACCAATGACCTGGTAGCTGGACGTGGTGGTGCATGCCTGTGATCCCAGCATTTGGGAGGCTGAGACAGGAGGATTGATGCAAGTTCAAGGCCAGCCTGGGCTACAGAGCAAGTTGAAGTCCAGGCTGAACTATATAGTGAGACCCTGCCTCAAAAAGTAAAATAAATAAATAAAAACTAACAAGTGACCCAAGAGGACTAGCCCTGTGGTGCCATGGGCAGTGAGAACAGGAAGGTCTCTGCCTGTGTTGAGAGAGGACCACGGCAGACCATGAATGGGACTTTGTGGCATGACCAGCGCTGAGGGCTCCAAGAGTCCATAACCGGAGGACAGGGCTTGGCCAGAGACGTCACGTGTGTACCCAGTACGCTGGGCACACTGAACTGGGCACACTTGGGAAACCATAATATTAAAATGACGCCTGAAACTTAATGCATGTTTGCTAGATTCTACACATTTTGTGTGCACTGTCTTGCCAAATCTCCATAGCAACTGACAAGGCGGGTCTGTCATCAAGCCTGTTTCACAGACAAAGACCTGAGTCTTAGGGAGGTAAACATTTAGTCCTGGACACAGCTCACAGGGGGCAGGCTGTGATTTGAACACAGGCACTCAAGCTCCCTTCTGGCTGGTGGCCTCTACACCCTGTGGCTCCATTTCATCTTGCACAGGAGTGCCAACAGTGAACTGAGTCAAGGTGTACTTCCATGCTTATGCACTGTGGTGGCTGTTATCCAAGATGTCCCTTGAAAGCTCGTGTTAAAGATGGCTGCCGTGGGGAGCTGACTGGATCGAGACTCTTCCTTCATCAGTGGATGGATCCAGAATGAGCTCAGAATTTGTGAGCAGAGAGGGGATGGGAGGGGAGAGGATGGAAACAGAAGGGTGCCTAACTGAAGCAAGTGGGTCGTGGGGGGTGACATTAGGGGCTACATCTGCCCCCATCCCTTTCCCTCTCTCTGCCTCTTGTCTGCCATGAGGGGGTCCACTCTATGCCGCCACACACTCTCCGCCATGATGCTCACCCTCACCACAGGCCTACAGACCGTGTGGGCTCTTCCTTTCCTGTTCGAATCCCTTTCATTTCTTTCTCTAAGTTTCATTTCTTTCTCTTTGGCTTCTTCCTTTCCTGTTCAAATCCCTTTCATTTCTTTCTCTTGCCTAATTACTCTGGCTAAGATTTCAAGCACTATATTGAACAGACATGGTGAAGGCAGCAACCCTTGTCTTATTCCTGATATGAGAGGAAATACTGTCAGGTTTTCCTCATTTAGTGTGATGTTGGCAGAGGGAACAGAAGGGGGTCGGGCATCATTTTAATATTATGGTTTCCCAAGTGTGAACCATGGACTGAAACCCTAGCCAAAAGAATCCTTTCCTCCTTTGTTACTCTCGGGTGTTTTGTCACAGCAACAGAAAGCTGACACACATATGTTCACCCGTGCATATGTTCACACATGACCCCGGTGCACAGAGGCTCAGCCTAACCGACCCATGCAGCACAAGCACAGCTACAATCATCATGCCTTTGGCCCCCGCCAGTTTTTTCCATCCAATTTCCCTAATAAATAGGTCATGAGACTTTTATGTTTAAAAGTAATTATAAATTAGCATTACCTTGGTACCAAGGACTCAACAGAAAAAGAGAACTACAGGCAATTTCCTTAATGAACATAGATACAAAAATCCTCAACTGAATACTTGCAAACAGAATGCAACAAATCATTAAAAAGACCATGCATCATGTCCAAGTTGCTTTATCATGTGTAAATCAACGTATGTGAATAGATAAACATAATACACCACATAAGCAGAAGTCAAGATAAAAATCACACGATCATCTCAACAGATGCAGAAGAAGCCTTTACAAAATTCAACATCCATTCATGTTAAAAATCCTGACAAAAATAGGCAGAGAAAGATCTTACCTTAAACAGATAAAAGCCATTACTGACAAACCCTCTGCCAACATCACACTAAATGAGGAAAAACTGACAGTATTTCCTCTCATATCAGGAATAAGACAAGGGTTGCTGCCTTCACCATGTCTGTTCATAGTGCTTGAAATCTTAGCCAGAGTAATTAGGCAAGAGAAAGAAATGAAAGGGATTTGAACAGGAAAGGAAGAAGCCAAACTATCTGTTATGGTTTATGTCTGTGTGTCCCCCCAAAGCCTCATGTGGCCATGGGGCAGGCTTTTAGAGTTTAATTATGGGTGTGAGAGCTGCACCTGCCCTGGGATGGATAGTTTGCATATGTAAGGGAGAGGAAAAGAGTGCTTGAGGCCATTCCTCCCCCATTCCTCCCTGGTGTATGCTGGGTGCTTAGCTGTGTTCTGCCACCCTGAGATGTAGCTCTCTGCCATGTGCCACTCTGCCTTATAATCTGCCAAGTACGGACTGAAACCTCCACGAACTGTAAGCAAAATAAACTTTTCCTTCCTTAATTTTGGGCATCAGGTATTTTGTCCCAGCAACGAGAGAAAAGTAACCAAGACACTATCCTATTTTGCAAATGACATGATGCTTTACATAAAAGATCCAAAACACTTAGCGAACAAATTCAGCAAAGTGGCAGGATACAAAATCAACACTAAGGGGCCAACGATAAATACTAGAGAAAAGATAGCACCCTGAACAGATGGTGCTGGGAAAATGGGTTCCCCACGTGCAGAAGAATGAAACTTGATCCGTAGCTCTCACCCTGTATTAAAATCAAATCAAAACAGATCACAGACTTACACATAGAGACAGAAACATGGAATCTGCGGGAAGAAAAAAACTGGTAAAACTCTTGAGGACACAGTCATAGGCAAGGACTTCCTGAACAGAGCCCAGATTGCATAAGAAATGATACCAAGAGTCAACAAATGGGATTAAATCAAATTAAAAAGCTTCTGCAGAGCAAAAGAGATAACCAACAGGGTGAAGAGACAACCTACATAATGGCAAAAAATTTCTCTTCTTTTTTATTTTAAAGATAAAAGAACAAAATAACAAAAACAAAGACAAAAACAAAACAACACGAAAACTATAAAAATGATACAGAATTTCAAAACAAAATGATAGGAAAACAATGGTTAGTGTATTACTTTTGTTATCTTCAAAATAGTTGCTCAGATTACCAGATATAGGTGTGCAAGACTGATCAAACAAACATTAACTGCTCCTTTCAATAAACCAATAGAAATTAGTAGTAAAATTATCTTAGCTATCTTGTGTATATATACATGTATTTTTTTCCTTTCCTTCTTTCTTTTCTCCTTTCCTGCATCCCAGTTGTTCTTTCCTATTGAGCGGTTTCTTCCCTTTTCACAATATCTATTGTACCTTTAAGATGTTATTTACACTTTCAATTTCTTATGCTAGGGAGACAATATGGTATTACATATGCAGGTCTGATTTATTTCACATATGAGTATGGTCTCTAGTTGCATCCATTTATCTATAAAAGCCTCAAATTTATCCTTCTTTATAGCTGAGTAATACTCCATTGTATAAAAACACCACAACTTTTTTTATCCGTTCCTTAGTTGATGGGCCTTTGGGTTGTTTTCAAGATTTTGCTATGACAAACTATGCTGCTATAAACATATCACTGTGGTATGATGTTTTTTAATTCTCCTGGGAAAATACCTAGAAGGGGAATTGTTGGGTTAAATGGGACCTCTAATCCTAATGTTTTGAGGAATCTCCAGACTGATTTCCAAAGTGGCTGCACCAGTCTACATTGCCACCAATAGTGAAGAAGGATTCCTATTTCCCCACAGCCCCTGCAGAGTTTGTTGGTTGATTTTTGATAGTAGCCATTCTTTCTGGGGTGAGATGGAATCTCAGTGTTCTTTTAATTTGCATTTCTTGAATGATCAATGATGTTGAACATTTTTTCATGTATTTATTTGCCATTTGTATTTCTTCATCTGAGAAGTGTGTATTCATCTCACACGCCCATTTTTGGTTTGGACTGATTTTTTCTGATTTTTTTCAATTCTCTATATGTTCTAGATATATGTCCTTTGTCTGAGGGACAGTTAGCTAAAATGTTTTCCCACTCTGTGGGTTGTCTTTTCACTCTA